GTTCTTAAAAATTGTTGAAGAGTCCAAAGAATTTTTTATGGAGTTATATTTCTCAATATTTACTGATTTAGAAATGTTAGAAAAAGTTTTAACATATGTATTCATTTTAAAACAGTAAGAATTAACCCATCACATGTTAACACAAATATACATTTATAAAAAAACGACAACTTCCAAAACAAAAAAATTAGTAAGAAAGGTGGCATGGTTTTATCTTTCTATAATTTTTTTTTGAAAAACTGGCCTAATAGAACATAGCTAGATTCCCATGTGCATCTTTACTCCATCTGTTGCAATTGCACGTCACGTAGCCTCTAGAAAATTTCTCTGAAGACTCATGAGAGACTGAGAACGAAAAAGGTGAATGGTATCTTAGAATTACTATGAAAATCATTTTTACCTCACAAACTCGCTGAAAAGTGTTGAGAGTCCCCAGATCACACCTTGAGAACCACCAACTTAGAACAATGTTTGTTCGGTGCTAATTAGGTGTGGAGATAAATAAAACCTATAATTACTTATGTATAGGTATATACGTCAGGGAGAGATAATAACATACCTTTGTTTTAGCCTTACCTATATTTATATGGTTTGTTTTTCTATATTATAAACTGTTAGTTCTGCTGACAATTTATTTCTTAAAAGATGTATAGGTTGATATAAACCTTTGGCAAAAATATGGCCTCATTCTGTCAATCTGCATGAAAAATAACCACAAATTTTGACTCATGCAATTTTAAATCTTATTTTAGAATGCCTTTTTTTAAAATAAACTTTTTGTTTTGAAAAATTATCGATTTAGAAGTTGCAAAATTATGTACAGAGAAGTCCTGGGTATACTTTAGCTAGTTTCTCCCAAAGATAATACTGTGCCTGGCTGTAGTAGGATGTGAAAACCAGGAAATTGACTTTGGTACAACCCACAGAGCTTAGTCAGATTTCACTGGTATTGTGTGTGTGTGCGTGTACGTGTGTGTGAATGTATGTGTAGTTCCATGCAATTTTATCCCATGTGTACAATAGCGTGACAAATATCACAATCAAGATTCAGAACTGTTCCATCACCATGTGGCTCTCTTTATAGCCACACTTATTCCCGCCTCAACTCCCTCCCCAGCACTAACTCCTTAAAACTGCTGATTTATTTGGCATCTCTCTAATTTTATTTTATTATATGGAGTGTTATATAAGTGTGGGATCATGCAGCATGCAACCTTCACTCAACACAATATCCTTGAGATCCATCTGCCTTGCATATGTATCAATAATGTGTTCTTTTTGTTGCCACATAGTATTCGCTGGTGTGGATGTACTATTGCTTCTATAGCTATTTATCTATTGAAAGCAGTTTGGACTGTTTCCAGTTTTTGCCTATTATAAATAAAGCTGCTCTGAACCTTTGTATACAAGGTTTGTATGGACATAATTTTCATTTCTTTGAGATAAATGACTGAGTACAACTGTTGGGTTATATGGTAAGTTTTATAAGAAACCCCCAAATGGGGTGCCTGGGTGGTTCAGTCGTTAAGTGTCTGCCTTCTGCTCGGGTCATGATCCCAGGGTCCTGGGATCCGAGTCCCACATCGGGCTCCCTGCTCAGCGGGGAGCCTGCTTCTCTCCCTCTCCCTCTCCCTCTGCCTTCTGCTTCCACTGCTTGTGCGCTCTCTCCCTCTCTCTGACAAATAAATAAATAAAAATCTTAAAAAAAAAAAGAAAGAAACTCCCAAATGATTTTTCATTTTATCTTCCCCCAACAATGTTTGAATTATCCTGTTTCTCTGCATCCATACCAGCATTTGGTATTATTATTATGTTTTGTTTTAGTTATTCTGATGGATATATACTATTTCGCTGTAGTTTTAATTTGCATGTTACTAATGGCTGATGATGTTAAATGCTTTCCTTGTACATATTTGCCATCTAGGTATCCTTTCTGCTGCAAAATACATTTTCGTCTTCTCTCTCTTTCTCTTTTTTAAAGATTTTATTTATTTATTTGAGAGAGAGAGAGAGAGAGTAGGGGGAAGGGTAGATGAGATGGAGAGAGAAAATCTCAAGCAGATTCCCTGCTGAGTGCAAAGACTGATGCGGAGCTCAATGTCATGACCCTGAGGCCATGACCTGAGTGGAAACCAAGAGTCAGTCACCTAACAGACTGAGCCACCCAAGTGCCCCTGCAACACCCATTTTCTAATTGGATTTTTTTCTGTTGAGTTTTGAGAGCTTATTGTCTATTCTAGATACTAGCCCTTTGCTGGATATGCGGCTTGCAAATATTTTCTTCAAGCCTGTGCCTTGTATTTTTATCTTCTTAACAAAGGATTAACCCATAATTTGGATGAGGTCCAATTTATTAATTTTTCTTTTATGGGTCATATTTCTGTTGTTAACTCTAAAAACTCTTAACCTAGTCCTTGGTCCCCCAATTTTTTAATAAAATTTTATAGTTTCACATTTTACATTTGTCTATAATTCATTTTCAATGATTTTCATACAAGGTATGAGGTTTACGTTCAATTTTTGTTTGTTTGCCTGTGGGTGTCCTGTTGTACTGGCAGCCATCGTTGAAAAGGTTGAATTCCTGCTAAATTGTTTTGGCATCTTTGTCAAAAGCCAGCTGGCCATATTTGTGTGGGTCTATTTCTGGGTTCTCTGTTTTGTTCTACGGGTCTATGTATCTATCCCTCTGCCAATATCACTCAGGTTTGATTACTGTTGCTGTATACTAAGTCCTAACACTGGGAATAGTGAGTCCTCCCACTTTCTTTCTTAAATTGTTTTAGCTATTCTAGATCTTTTGCCTTTCAACAATAACCTTGTTTATGTCTACAAAAGCTGTTCAGGGGTTTGGATAGGCATTTCATTCAATAAAAAGATCACGTTGTAAATAATTGACATCTTTACCATGTTGAGTCTTCCAATTCATAAACCTGATATCTCTCTCCATTTATTTAGGTTTTCTTTAATTTATTTCATAATTTTCAGCATACAAGTCCTATATATATTTTGGTAGATTTAAACTTAAGTATTTTCTCTCCTTTTTTTTTTTTTTAAAGATTTTATTTATTTATTTGACAGAGAGAGAGAGACAGCGATAGAGGGAACACAAGCAGGGGGAGTGGGAGAGGGAGAAGCAGGCTCCCCGCCGAGCAGGGAGCCCGATGCGGGGCTCGATCCCAGGACCGTGGGATCATGACCTGAGCCAAAGGCAGATGCTTAACGACTGCACCACCCAGGTGCCCCAGTATTTTATTTTCTTTGGAGCAATTGTAAATGGTATTATGTTTTAAATTTGTTTTCACATTATTGTTTTTAGTATGAGGAAATGCAATTCATTTTTGTGTGTTGATCTTATGTCATGCAATCTTGTTGAACTCACTAATTAGTTCCAGGACCTTTTCTATAGGTTCCTTTTTTTTTTTTTTTAACATATACAGATAATTTTATTTCTTCCCTTTCAATTTGTGTGCCTTTAATTTCTTTTTCTTGCCATATTGCACTGGCTAGAACTTCCAGTAGTATACTGAATAACAGGTGAGAGTGGACATCCTTGCCATGTTGCTGATCTTGGGGGGAAAACATTCGTTTTTCACCATTAAGTATGATGTCAGCTGCAGGTTTTTTGTAAATGTTCTTTATCAAGTTGAGAAAACTCTTTTGACTCTTGTTTGTGGAAACTTTTTATTATGAAAGAGTATTGAATGCTGTCAAATACTTTTCTTTGTCAACTGATATATCATATGATTTTCTTCTTCTTTATCTTATTGATATGGTAGATTACATTAAATGATTTTCAAATATTGAACCAACCTTGCATATGTGAATTATTTGCAGTTGGTCATATATAAATCTTTTTATACATTTCTGGGTTCAATTTGCTATTATTTTGTTTAGGATTTTTAAAAAAAATTTTTGCATCTAATTTCATGAGGTATACTGGTCTTTCGTTTTCTTTCTTTCGTTCATTCATTCATTCTTTCTTTCATACTGAATTGGTCTGGTTTTTGTGTCAGGGTAATCGTGGCCTTGAAAAATGAGTTGGGAACTATTCCTTCCTCCTCTATTTTCTAAAAGAGATTCTGTAAAGTTTGTGCTAATTCTCCTTTAAATGTTCTGAACTGTCTTTTTATTGGTAATTGATGCTCTGTTCATCTTATCTCTCATGGTATGAACATGAGTAATCCATAACATTTTCACTTAAAAAGTAGGAATAAAAACTTGCCCATTTTATCTTATATGAAGTTTTTGTAGGATATGTAGGGATACAATCCAATTCCCTGTCACCCCATTCTCAGGTGCGGTGAGGTCAATGCTGGATACGGTCAATCACAGCTGACCTTGGCTAGCCTGCTCTTATGCACTCAAAATGTTTAGGTAAAGCTGTATCTACAGGTATAAATAAGTCAAGAAATGCATTTAGGAAAACTTTGATAAACATTCTCTGCTGTCTACTCTTGCCACATTGCTGAGCTAGCATTTGCTGTTGCACACTGATAATGAGACTTAGAGCTCACTACCACCGGTGAATAAAAAGCAGGAAAGACATTGTCCTTACCTTCTGTTCTCCCACCTGAGAATGTAGGAATGGGAAGGATGAACTCAAATGCTTATACATTTTATATATCATATATAAGCTTATCTATTTTGCATAAGCTTATCTCTCTCTCTGTCTTCTTAGACATTATCTAGTTTAAGTTTCATGTCTTACAAATAAGCACACTGAGGCTTAGCAGAATGATATATTTAAAAAGATAATTTTTTATTAGCATCAAGTCCAATTCTATTAGTTTACACGTGAAATGGAAAGATTTGATTCCCTAGCTCTTTCCTAAGGAAAAATTGCTTTCTTATTTACATGGCTCCAGAGTGTGTTTGGAGCTGTAAGCTAAGGGGTCAAGACACTGATGACTATTATTAGTAGTAATGTTAAACCTACTAGTTGTTTTTATGACCGGTAAGCCAATTTTAGAGTAACTTTGTTTTCCTTGTCTGTTTTGCAGGAGAGCCATGGATTATTACAGAAAATATGCAGCTGTCATTCTGGCCACATTGTCTGTGTTTCTGCATATTCTCCATTCCTTTCCTGATGGAGAGTTTGCAATGCAGGGTATGTGACCAAAAGGATTTGCAGTGATAGGAAAAACACACATTCCTAGATGTACATCAATAACTCCATTAATTACATTTCCACCTCCTTTTCAGATGATATAAATCTTTGCTGCTGGATATATATCCGGGCACTTTTAGATTGTAAACATAGAGTTAAATTAGGTTCAGAAAATGTATAGTGAAAATTTATCTAACATGTCCATTTAAATAGCAGCATGTACATTTTCATCTGAACTATATTCCTTATTATTCTTTATTTGAGTTTTATAAGCAGAAAATGCTCCTTATTCAGTTAGCTCAGTTTTTTTTTTTTACATTTCTCCTAGAAGATTTGAGAAGATTTTAACATTGCCTTTGTAGATGAATTTTCACATCAGTTAACAAGTGAGAAAAACAAAACCATTTTATGCAGTACATTTGTTTTGCTGTATTGTTTGAAAAATCTCATATAGTAGCTGATATAATTCCATATGCTATGAAACTGTGAGCTACTATTGGTTATGGTTTTTCTTAGACAACTGATAATATTTTAATCCCAGTTCTCAAGTGCGGATGCTCCATCTAATATCAGGCTCTCCACTCACCAAGCTTTCCTAATTCTGAAATATTTTTCTCTGTCAATATTTGGAGTTTCCATGGGGGAAAACAATAGCATGTTCTAAAGGGGAAAATATTTTGCCTCTGGGCAAAATTCTCCTTTCAGATGAGCATGGTGTTTTCATCTGTCAAGTTTTGTGCTCCCTATAAGCATGCTGTTGGCATTGGGATAGAGAAACCATGGTTGAAGAGACAGAAACTACTACTCTTTTTTTTTTTATGTTTAATTGAGAAGCTACTACTCTTGAGATCTCCCATGCATATCTGCAAAAATTATTTCCTGTGAAAATAAGTATAATCAGTACAAATAGATACTATGAATGAAAGTTAACAGCCAAAAAGCGTTTATTATTTTTCTTCTATTTCCAATGGAAAAAGAATATTTACCATCTCATAATCAGGGAAAATTCAGTTTCTTTTTTTTAAATTTATTTTTCAATTAAAAAAAATAAACTCTATGCCCAACGTGGCACTCGATTTTACGATCCCTAGATCAAGAGTCACATGCTCCACCACCTTAGCCAGGTCTCCTGTTTCTTTTTGAGTTATTTTTGGATTATGTTACTCTTTGCCTTTTTTGGTGATAGGCTGCCCAGAATGCAAGCTAAAGGAAAACAAATACTTCTCCAAGTTGGGTGCCCCAATTTATCAATGCATGGGTTGCTGCTTCTCCAGAGCATATCCCACTCCAGCAAGGTCCAAGAAGACAATGTTGGTCCCAAAGAACATCACCTCAGAAGCCACATGCTGTGTGGCCAAAGCATTTACCAAGGTGAGAACTTAGAGGGCCCCAGAAGTTTTCTAACAGTCCAACCTGAGAAATGTCCCCAGAACATATCCATGTGGTTTAATGTCAGAGGTGTCTAATGACCCATCCTTCGCTTGACATTGGTACAGGGATTTGTCCCCTTAAATCAAAAGTAACCTTGTGGGGACAGGCTAGATTTGTTCAGAATGACAGGAACAGCTGTGGAGGCGATGAGGGGTAGGTTGGAAGAGAGTATAACATACACACACAGTGCAAACCTAATCTTTTAGAGTGAAATATTAGCTGAAATGGAGAATGTGCAAATGGAACAAGCATCTATTTAGTCCAGCTGGCTACAGACAATTTTATTTAACATTTTTCAATTTTGTCCCTCCATCCATCCATCCATCCATCCATCCATCCATCCATCCATCCATCCATTTTTTTTCCTCCCTTTCCCTTTAGGCCACAGTGATGGGAAATGCCAAAGTGGAGAACCACACGGAGTGCCACTGCAGTACTTGTTATTATCACAAATCTTAATGTTTTGCAAAGAGCATGTTGATGACTGCTGATTTCCTGGAGTGAAAAATTAATTTTTTCAGTGTTTATGGCCTTGTGAGATAAAACCCTCTTTTTCCTTACCATACTCCTTTTGGCATGCTTCGAGGATACTGCAGCTTTATTGCCTTTCTCTTTATCCTACAGTATAATCAGAAGTTTAGTTCTTTTCATTTGGAGTGAAGTACAGCATTTAGCATGACCATAAAAAGTTAGTTCCTCTGCAAATAAAGCCTTTTAAATCATCATTCTATCATTGGATTCTAATTTTTTCTTAAAAGTTTAAAGCCAGTTACTTTTGATAAGATTAATTGAAGGGAGTGAGCCAATGGGTAAGCTGGGATTCCGTGTACTCAGTGACCCCAGAGAACATTGATTCCACCAAGACTTCTAGTTTTATAACTAATCAGTGGGCTAGTTGTGAAACACTCTGTTGGGGTGAGGAAAGAAAACATAAGAACTTCTACCACTATTCATTTTTATATCACCCCTTTGATGACTTTTTAAGAAAAGTACATATACATTAGTATGGTAATAAGTGTGTAACATTTATAAATAAATAATTATGCATACATTGAGGATGTTTGGTCAGACACTTTCTACTGGGAGAGGTGTGCAAAATTAGGAAAAAACATTAGAGAACACTGCTGTAAGTTTTGAGCAAGACAAAATCCTCCCCAGCCTGAAGTTTTTATCCACTTGGCTTATACCTAGCCAAAAAAAGAGTACATTTTATTAGTCCCTGGCAACTAGGTTATAATCGAAAGGTGGCTAAGGAAAGGGCATTGTTGTCCTCAACTAAAAATTGGGCATTGCTTTGATATTCCAGAGGCATTGGCTCTTACATTCCACATTCAAGCCTAGAAGAGAATGAATACATGATGAGCAAAGTACTCACTGAGCCCTCACTGTGTGCTAGGTGGGGTGCCAAGCTTTCTACTTTAGTAAAATTTTATGTAGTTATAGCCAAATGCTTAAAAGCAGTGCCACATTTATTGAATATTTACACTTAAAAAAAGAGATAGGCCTTCCTCTGAGGATCATGGTTTTATACATTAAACTATATTAGCTATGGAAGAGATCAAAGCCACTCAAAAATTCTACACCTAAAGGAGCCTGAAATTTAAAAAAAAAAAAAAAAACCACACTGGTCATAGATAAGGTTTTCAAAATAATTTCAATTATCATCAATTTGTCAAGATTCCATTTCTAAGTGAAAAGCTAGTTCTTAACAGGTTGGTAAACACACTGGGTGTCAGGATGAAAAATTAAAATGAGTGCATGTACTTTTTAAGAAAAGCATATGAAGATATTACTTCATTTGTCCATTCACTCGTTTATTATACATTTATTTAGTGTCCAGTAAGTGCTGGCACATTGTTACATTATGGGGATTCAGAGATATCAGGATTCCCTGAAAGATAAGATGGAGAAAATAAAATGTAGCTTAATTCAAGAGAACAGTGGTGCTAATCATTAGTTCATCCAGATATTTAATAGATATTCATCGAGAATCTACTATGCGTCAGGTCTGGAGACCTCGTGAGGGAATTTAGCAGGAGAGGAAAGCTACTGACCTGCCCTTGATCAGAGTGTCCTTGTCCATCTGGGATCATCTATTGACAGAGGGGAAGGGGACATTCCTATGGTCATTCAGATCAGTCAAATCAACCCTGGAGAGCAGTAGGATGAATTGTCTTGGCCATATTGACCTCCCGTCTGGGCATGTGCCAGGCATGGTGCTGGGCCTGGAAAAGTCAAGATGAAAAAGACACAGATCTTGCTCTGAAGCAATCCACAGTCCAGCGGGGAAGAGAGACATAGACAAAGAATTACAATCTAATGGGATACATGCTATGGGAGAGGTGTGGGACTTCGGTGGCACAAAACCAGGGATGGTTCACTCGGCCTGGTAGGGTTTGTCATGGATAGCTTTACAGGGAAGATGATACTTGAGTTGGGTCTAGAAGTTAGGTAGAAAGAAGGGGGAGGGGCTCAGTCTAGTTCGAGGAAAACAGCCTAAGTAAACATCCTGAGATGGGAACCGGTTTGATGATCACAGAAGTTCAGTGTGACTGGATGGCAGGGAGATGGGTGAAGGGCTGGAGCTGCTGAGACAAATGAACACTGTCAAGGTCCTTGTATAACATGCAAAGAAATGTGCATTCCAGCTAGGACAGTAGCTTCTCAAACTGGAGGCCCCGAGGGTTCCTGAAGCTACAGGATAAACACACCCCTTTCTGCAGGATCAGTTTTGCTTGAAGATTTAGAGATAGGTTATTTTGATTTTAAAACAAAGACTGATACATTATAGAATGGAATGCAAAATTGCAAAAATCAGATTAAAAAAAGAAAGTTTGTGTTGAAGGTGGGACCTTGCAGGTCCTGCTCTTTTGACCCTCCCAAACCTGTCAGGAGCTCCTTCGCTTTTCTTGCCTTAGGAGTACTTAAATGGACGAGCTCTTGTTAAAGAATTAATACGGTCAGATTTGCCCTTTGGAAAAATTTTGGCAGCAAGCCAAGGATGATTTGAGAAAGAGAGAGACTGGACACAGGATCACAAGTTGGGGTCTTTGCGATTGTCTTGGCACGAGATGGTGCTAGTCTCCTGGTAGTGAGGGCGAGAGTAAGAGAAAGAGAGAGATTTGAGAGTAAGAGAAAGGAATGAGAGAGTGTAAGAGAAAGAGAGGAATTAGGAGGAAGTGAAGAGCTAATTGTGGGTGTGGCTCCTGGCTTTTTGGGCGGCTGGTGAATGATGGTGCCAATAACTGGGAAAGGGAAAAGGTTTGCATGGCATCAGAGTGGGGAGATGACATTCAGTATGGGGCCTGCTGAGTTGAGGTGTCTAAGGAGTACCAGGTGAGCATGTCTGATAGGCAGCATGTACAGTGATACGGAGCTCAGGAAAGTACTCCAGCCCCCGAGGTACAGGCTTGAGGGTCATCTGTGGTGGGTGGGGCCGAAAGCACAGGGGTGGCTAGGGTTGCTCAGGAGGGTGTGGGGGTGTGATGAAGAGAAGATGCTGGCCCACCAGGGATAGAGTCTGGGCCAGCCTGGCTGAGAAAATGATTATGTCTTGTGGGACCGTCAATTCGAAAGCCCTGCTATGAGCCCTCTAGAGAACAGATTACAATCTCAAATATATAAGCAGTGAGGAGGAAGAGAGGCAGGCATGGAGGCTGGACATTTTGTTTCAAGCCTATCTGTGAAAAATTCCTAAAAGAAAGTGGTAGAAATAGCACACGTTTGAGGGATTATTCTATCAAAAAGTCCTCTACCGTTTATCTCAGCCAGAAAGCTGCCCGAAATTCTATTTGCGATTCCTTCCTTGGGACTAAGACACAGTCTCCCATGCATCTTCTTTTACATGATAACACATCTGACTGAGGCAACACAGTTGACCATTAACTCCGCAAGATAATATAAACAGACCACCAGGTCTTTCTACATGGGTCTGTGGACCCTGGTCACTAGGGAGAGAGGGGTGTCAGGCAGAATGATAAAAGGATAAAACAAACTACTACTACTACTACTACTACTACTACTACTTTGTAGTTGTGTCAAGAATTGACCCTGAGCAGAAACTCCTAAGTGATTACAGGGATGCCACCAATGACAAGGGCTCGACGAGGAGGCCAGGGAACAGGGATGGCTCCTGTGTATCAGTCTGTCTCCTGAGAGCTGGGGTGGGGAGAAGTGCAGCAGAAGACGAGAGGGAAAGAGACACAGGGAAGGGAAGAGGAAGAAGAACGGAGCGGGTAGAGAAAGTTGGGGCAGGAAAAATGTGTGCGAGGGATGGGGAAGAGACAAGAGGGGTGCTGGAAGAGTCAGCAGTCTCAGAGGTGCCTGACCTGGATTAAAGCAGAAAGAAAAATCCATGGCTCTACATGCTTCCCCCTCTTCCCCCACCCCTGCCGGAATCCAAGCAATCACCCAAAGTCAAGACCTCTAGCCTCTCTGAAGCCTTTGTGCAAATGGATGAAAGTGCCCTCTCTGGGCAGGCAGAGCACCTTAAGTAAATGACTTCATAACTAAATGGCACAGAAAGGTAGCTATCAGTCAGGCCTTAAACCCTTTTTGTAGTCCACACACTGTGCAACCTTACATGGCAGCCATGATCATGATCTCTTTATCTTAATATGACCGTGGGGAGATAATGTCTTAAAATGGTAAGAATCTTTGATTCCACATGTCTCAGACTCCAATCTGAGATTCCAAATGTTGATTCCTAATTATTCTTATAGTGTTGGGAGGCTTCTGGAGAAAATATTCCCCCAAATAGTTTGGTTACGCTTTGACTAGCTATGGGGAAACCAGAAGAGCTGCCCATAATCTGGTCCAACAGGAAGGTAAAACCAAAGAATCCACATGTAAATGACCAGGAAGCTGACGTGAAGAAGTTGGTTAGGACTGCAAACCTCAAGAGGTCCAGAGAGGTCCCCTTACTGGATAAAAAGTTAATCGATGTCAAACCACCTGACATCAGTACAGCACTTTTACTTTCTCAGTGCGTCTGACCCAGCCCCTTGCGGACTGCATGTCAGGGCAGGTGGGACTATCTCCATCTGACGATTGGATAAATGGAGGCACAAAGAACTTTGGTTGTATAGGGACTGAGAATGTGTGGAACGCTGGGTCTCCCCACGTCCAGTTTTGTGCTGCTTCTTTCAAATTCCAATTTCCTCTCAAGGTATGAAGTGTTTGCTTTAACTGCAAAGAACCTATTTTTCCCTGGGTCCTGAATAGGCGAACTCTCTTGGAGATTTGCCCAGGGTGAAAAGCCATCCTATTAAAATAAATGAAGTCTGAACTATGAATTGTCCACTGATGTTTTGTCTGGAAGCTAGAACTTCAATTTTACCTTTATGGCATTTTTTTTTTTGGTTTTTTGTTTTGTTTGATGGTTTCAGAGGGATGAAAGAAGAGGAAGAAAGGAAACCTGGGCTTGACCTAGAGATGCACCTGCCACTTTGTGAAGATGGAGGAAGTGGGATGGGCGTGTGGAGAAGGGGGTGCTAGCAGAGGCTTGGGTTGAAGTTGTGGTGGATAAATTAAAGCCTTAACTTTGAGTATTAGGGAGAGAATTTCTTTTTCTTTTTTTAAGATTTTATTTATTTATTTGAGAGAGAGGAGAGACAGAGACAGAGAGAGTGAGCACGAGCAGTGGGGAGGGGCAGAGGAAGTGGGATGAGCAGCCTCCCCATTGAGCAGGGAGCCCAACGCAGGGC